ATAATATAATAATAATAATATAATAATAATAATAATAACTAATAATAAAATAATAATAAATCGTTCTATAACAGTATCTTTCTAATAAGCTTTCAGGTTTTACTTTATATATATTTTCTTTTATATCTAACTTTTGTTATTTTATTTGTTAATTGGTTTGGTTTAGTTATTTTTATATTAGAGCAGTATCATTTATTATTTGATTTTTTCTTATTAAAGGAGTACCTCCTTCTTCTTTTTTAATATATATCTGATTAGGTTCTTTATATTTAATTTTTTTAATTTTTTTATTCCTCTTAGAAAATTACCTGATATTTTTTAGTATTCTTATATATTTATCTTAATCAACTAATTTAATACATATGTTTGTTTATTTACTTTGTTTATTTTATTATGCTTTCTAAATAATCTAAATAATTTATATATCAGAGTTATTAAGATTTCTCAAAATTCTTATAAAATTTTTATTTTTATTAAAAATTTTGTTTGTTTTTGTATAATGCTATTTTTAAGCTTTTTTTACTTATGCTTTTGTTTTTAACTAGATGTAATTTTTGTTATTTTATCTTTTTTGTTATAAAATTTAAATATTGCTTTCTAGTAGGTTTTTGTATTTTTTTATATTTTGCTTCTTAATAATTTTTAGTTAAAAGATTTGCAAAAAAGAGTTAATATATAAATAATAAGATTACAATTTTTTTTTTTAATGTTAAGGTAATCTCTTTGGTTTTTTGACTTTTTATTAATAACTTTTTTGGTAATATGATTTAATAAACTATTACAGAAGAGCATACAATTTGTTATATATGTAACTTTTTTATATTATCTATTTAAAAAGTCTGTTGAAGATTCTCTACTAATTGTCATATCTAACACCTCTGCTTGGATGTTTTATTTTAAATCTTCTAAATCTGCAATTTGTATTAATATTATTAAATCATACTCAGATGCCCAGATTATTATCTCAATCTTAAAACTATTTTATTCTTAAGATAAATCTTCTAAAGTCTTTTGTATTTATTTTTATAGCTAACTTAGTATTGCTATAGCAGGACTAATACTTGCAATCAAGACTTAACTATTAAATTACTGTGTTCTTATAGAGTTTACACAAACCCTAGTATTTACTTTATAGCATAACTCTAGTACTTTAGTATACTTTTGTCTTTTTATTTATCTTTTTATCAAACTCTCAATTCAAATAAACTGTATAAAACTACAACTAGTCTATTAATATGTTGGATTAATCTAATATTTTTTTCTCTAATTTATTCTAGTGACCTAGTTTGTAATATCTTTAAGTTTTCTCTAATCTAAAAACTCTTGTCTGTTCAGGTATTACAACCTTGGTATTTGTTTTTTCAGACTAGTCTTTACAGTAATACTGTCAAAAATCCAGTTATCTCTTTACTTGGATTTTTTTAAATAAACTTCTTGTTACCTAATTTCAATAGATTTACATAGTTACAAGAACTTATTTAGTGTTTATATTATCTGATTGTTGATTTGTATTTCTTTATATAATGTCATATTTATACTAATGCTTTATGACCTGCTAGTTATACTAGTGTAACTGCTATTACAGATATTCTAACCTAATTATTGATAACAATTGTTATAATACAAATATTATATAATTATTTATCTAAATTTTTGCTGTTAATAGAATTTAAACACCTAATCTACTATTTGGAAGTTAATAACCTGACTATTTTACTAGGTTATCACATTCTTTAAAATTATAATTTTAATTATTATAACTTTAATAATTTATATATAAAATTAATATTTATTTTAAAACTAATTTTTTTAATTTTAATAATATATAAAATTTAAAAAGTCTAAAAAATTTTGTAATAATAAACATTAATGTTATATAAATTTTAAACTTTAATTAATTAAAAAATTTTTAATAAATTTTGAAAAGTTTTTTAACAAAATTAATTAAGTAGTTTTAAAAATTTTTTTTATTTAGAAAATATATTACTAAAATTAATTGTTAAACATTTATTAAAAAAATTAATTTTACAAAAATAAATGTAAGCAAATTTGATTGTATTACAATTTAAAGAATAATAAATTTTTTTAAAAAATATTTATTAGAATCTGATATCAGAAATAATAAACTATTTCTATAAGAACATAAAAATTTTTATTATAAAAACTGTTAGTTCATTATATAAAAGTTAACTGAAATATTAACATACATTGTTATTTATATGTCAACAAAAAATAAAAGTGACTTATATGCAAAAATACAAAAAAACAACATATTCATATTATAGTAAAGTTCTTATTATACCTATAGGCTCAAAAATATTATATAATTAATTCTATTATATCAAGAGTTTACTTTAACAAAGATGAGCTGTATTTGGATACTGATTCTTTTAATTATTTGACTTATGAATATATTTTTAAAACTCTACAACCTTTTATGTTTATTTGTATTAATTTAGTTTATGATAAATCTAATTATAGTAAAAGGTTACTATAATGGGTTTCAAGATTATTATTTATTAATCAAGTTTTCTTTAAAATTAGGCCTACTGAATAATTAATTGTGAAGGCAATTAATTGCAATTTTGCAGTTGTTTGACTTGATAAAATATGTAATAATCAACATAAGTATGAGTATATTGTAGTTTTTAAATTAAATTGTACAAACCACAAGAATATTAATTTACATTCTTTACAAAGGCATGTATACCAAAGTTCTAAACAAATGTTACATAAATGCTTTTTGAAACCTTCAAATGATGGAAAATATCAGTGTAATTTATATCCTTCCAGCCATAGTGTGATCTTCCAGACTATTTTATATATAATATATTATGAGTTTAGTATGCTAATTTTATATACGTACTCAAATGCGATTTTTGCAGTATACTACTATTCGTAATACCGATTAATTATGCATCATTACAAAATCATTCGATTCACGTCCAGTCACTAGCAAAATGAAATTATATCTCCTCAAGAAATTGATGATTTATTATATTTTCAAATAAAAATTTGGTAAGAATATATTAAAAAAATATATTTATACTAGTATGTAACAAGTTGCGATATACAAATTTATCTTGCGGCATATATAAAAGTTGTAGCATGATGGTAAATAATTATTGTAGCATATAAACAAGTTATAGCATATTGTAATTTAAAGTAAAAATTTATAATTAGTTATACATCAATCACAAAAACGTAAAAAACATTTTAGACCTTCCTTGCACGCAGAATTAGGGTTATTGTCACAAGGATAACAAGATTCTCCCTTCTTTCTTGTATCAGTTAGTTGGCATTTAAATGTATCTTCACCATGAATACGGCAAGCAAAAGGACAAGCACAATCATCGTCTGTCTTACATGGTTCACCTTGTCCTTTTAATTCTTGTCCATTTAATTCTTGTCTTTTTTCACCTGGTCCTCGGAGTGCTTGTCTTTTTTCACCTTGTCCTAGAAATGATTGTCTTTTTTCACCTTGTCCTAGAAATGATTGTCTTTTTTCGTGGTTGACGTTGACTGTGTCGACAAGGATGAAGAGGAGAACCACAAGAAGCACGCTCAAAAGAATCTTTCTCATGATGTATTGTTTTATTAATGAATATTGATACGTAATAGTTATTTATGTTTATATCTTTTGTTCTTTTGTTAAGAATCATAATATCCTGAATCAAAGTTTATATAACAAAAAGTAGGGACCATTTAGAATTAGATTATACCCGATTTGAATCATTTTGAGGCATGTCTTTTGTAGGACTGATGCAACTTATAGCTTGGATCCGGTCATCCGTTTTCATATTAAATTTAACGATCTTATCAATTGATCAAATTTTTGCTGTATACATATGAGCGAAAATATATCATTATAATTTTTGCGTTCATTTAGACCGAAAATAAAATATTCAAGATTTTAATTTACTATGAATGTATTAATTATAGATGATTTTTGAGTAGTGTACAATGTTTTTACAACAAAAGAAATGGCTTAAAAACTATTAAATCCAAATTTATATTTAATTAGTAAAAATTTAAGGCTATTACCTAAACTACAGTTGAATAATTTATGTCTATTGCCAAAACTGGTTAAATTTATTAGTTGAACCTTCTGAAGGTAATTCAGTTTGAAAATTTTTATAATATTTCAGTGCGGAAATCGTTGACAAGATTACTTACCAATAAAATCACTAAATTTATTAGCCGATTTGCTGATAAGATATTTGGAAAACGATTCTTCGAATTTATTAGGAGGTAAAATGGATAATCTTGAGATTCGGTTATCGGACAAAAAAAAATTTGTATTCTATTATGACAATTTATCATGACTATATGAATTACACACCCATTCATGGATTTACTAATTTCCCCCAAGTTCCTATTGGCTGGAATTATTCGCACCAAATTACATGTCATTTTATCCTTAAAAAATAAGTTTCATGTCAGAATTAATTGACAAACAATATTATGTTACACCCGATCTTGTTCTCTGATTCGCTGTAAATATATCACGTTATTAAAGATCGTCACGACCAATAGTAACTTGGGGGAAAATTTGTCGATTATCAGATTTAGAGGTTGTATTAACTTAGCGTTAGGCTACATTTGGAATTCCGTTCCAACTTAAATCCAATTATTCTATTTCGACGTACGACACATATACGACAATCTTTCATGGTCTCACTGGGGTAACTATTTCATATTAAACCAGCATAGCAGAAACTCGTATCCATAATCATTGTTACACAGACTATTTATATGGTCAATTGAAAATTTGATATACGGTTGTAGTCTAAAACCAGAAATTTCACAATCCGTAAAATTTCTTCGTTTTGAGTGTTTATAACAGAAAATCTTTTCTAATCATTTTCAATCGCTTTCCCCAGAAAGTTTTACAAGAACAAAAGTAGGACGTTTGAAAATTGGCAGAGTTTATTGAGTTTCTACTACGTTTAAATTATGAAACCATACAATAATTTTATAAATTGTTAAACCGTGAGTGCTATATTAACATAAAACTTTATACACTTATTAAACAGGCTAAGAAATATATTCAAACTAAGAGATATATACGTATTAAATATCAAACAAAAAAGACAACTATCTCTAACATGTAGTATAATAAATACAATAGTGCGATTTAATTACAGTAATGTAGATTATGGGGTAGTGGCATGTTAGATGTAGTGTGTTTTCAGTAAATCTAACGGTTGACAAATAGTATAAAATTACTTTAGCAGTTAGTATTAAAACGTTTTGCTTTTATTAATAATAAATTCATCGCGTATTTCGCGTATCGAAAGAATGTTTAATTGGTTTGGTCAATAATCACATCAATAACCCGTGATTTTCCGTAAAAAGAGTTTCTGCTATGCTTAATAATTATTATCACGTATCAAATATCTCCGTATTAGCTGATGATTCTTTTATAACAACATCTTTGCGTGTAAGTTCTGAAATTATGCCGGATAGACATTCTGGAAAGTCGTCAAAAAATAACCTTTGTGGTAGCATTATACATGACAAAGAGCTTGAAAAGGACTCATCAGCTCAAATTACAGTAGTAATATTCCATTACAAAGCAAAATGAAATAATAAATATTATAAAATACATGATATATTTTGTTTTTTTTAAATGGACTTTTGTTACTGGTTGTATTTTTTTGGGTTGGATGTTACATTATATTCAGTTGCTGTTACATTGAATGTTATATTAGATTCAGTTGCTGTTATATTGGATGTTATATTAAATTCGATTGCAGCAGATTCAACTTCTATTGCTTTAGGAAATCGAGTATTGCGATTATTTCAGGCAAGTTAGGTATTTTTAAAATATTTGTTATGGATGAACAAGTTAAAGGCTCTTTAGCTGTTAAATCTATCGTTTCAATACTTTCTCCCAATTTTTATAAATTAAACTTTTGAAATAATATAAATATAATAATAAATTTTTTAATTTAATTTCGTTTATTACAATTCTCAACGCAATTTTGGCAAAGATTAATAAAATCTTGATTGTCTGGAATTATATTTTTTTTAATCCAGTCAATAAAATTCTTGCTCATATTTAACTTTTTTTTTATTAGCGCTTGCTCGTGTAATATATTTATTATGTTTTTTATTAAGATCTATGGGTTGGCAAGAATAATCTTCACCATAAGTTTCCGTACAGACTAAATACATCAAACATATTGGACATGTGTTCAACCGAAAACTTAAATGTGTTGACATTATAATACCGTTCAAAATACTATCGTTATGTTTTAATTTATTATTAATCACACCCATTTATCACTGCGAATCAAAAACTTATCGAACCGGCAAATATTCTTTCTTGCCAGATGTCCCAGAATTTATAAAAACAGCTGTGATTCGGATGTGATTACGTCCGAATCAAAAGTTTATCACTACCGAATCAAAAATTATCAAATTAGCAAATATTCGGTTGGTCAATTTTTTGAAAACAGCTGTAATTGAATTTGTTTCCGGCACCTTTGGCTACCAGTCGTACCGATGCTTTTCGAGTTATTATTCATGTATATAGCATAGCACCCCGTGTACAAATAGATTTTTCTATTTAAATATTCTTTTTTTATTTGGAATTTTCTAAACTTCTTTTTATATTTTTAAGAACTCGTTATTATTAAAACAAAACAATAATACTGTATTATTGCTTATATTCCAGGTTTATTTTTTGTTTTTTTTTTGTAAGGATTGCGCAAAATTAGTACTTTCATAAAGAAGTAAATCACATCTAATAAAAGAAAAAATATAACTCTATTGAAGTTATAGAATCAAAAAAAGTTAGTACTTTGATTTATCCATTTTTGATAAGTTATCACTACTAAGTAGGCTAACTTTTTTAAATGAGTAACGAAGTACGTATACTTTAGTAGTAATAATAATAAGTATAAATAAAAATTTTGTACGTACGTAGCTAATCAGATTAGTCTTATGAGAAATGAAGGCGCACTCTCACATATCGATATTCCAAAATTTAACTATTATTAGTAAGATAATGCTAAATTGGATTATTGAAATCGATAAAAAAAAATTGTGAATCATTATCATTCGATTATTTCTTTTCAGTTTATGAAATTACACGACATCTGCATATTTATATTATTTTTGAAAAAAAAAGAAATAGGATTTAAGGACTATTTATCTAGAAATCTCAAAAAAAAAAAAAATAAATAAAATAAAAAAATGCATTTTCGAGGATTTGAAATTGAGGTATTAGTAAATGATATGTTACTTGATGAATACCGTGGACCTAGAAATAGTGTACCGGTAATGTTGATGTACATTTGTTATTCAATAGATCTTTGGTGCGAATGGTTTTACGAATAAGTATCGAAATTTATACTCATAGTATAGATATACCGGTCCAAATTGGGTTGACAATGAAAAAACAAGAGTACGAAATGAAAGGTAAAAGAAAGTTTTTAAGGATCCAATATCAGCCATTTAAATCAATGTACATACATTTTATCTGTATATTTCCAAATATAAATATATTTTCACTTTTGCTATAGCCCACATCTTCACTATATAGCCTTTAAAACTGTACCAACCTATTTCACTGTCCGAGTTTCATCCACGGATACTACATATCAACGACCACTTAGAGTATTAATAAAAATAGATGGAATCTCACCACCAAATTATCCACCAATCGACCTATATGGAGTGGAGAAAAAACAGCAAAACTATGTAGTAAATAATAATCCTCAACTGGTTGGTGCGATATCGGCGTATTTTTATTCCACGGTTTCTGCTCAAATGAAATCTAGTTTTCCTGTTGCACTGTTACATTTGCATTATCGATCAGTCGATGAATTGAGACAGTGTGGGTTTAATGTCCCGATAGCTGTTAAACAGGAAGATGATGATAACGATGAAAAATAAGTTAAACGAGAAAATAGTGATGATATTGAAGGTAAATCGAGAGGAAATGTAACGTGAAGAAAAAAATAGAAATTCGATAATGATAATATGTAAAATATGAAAAGCATTTGTAATTCGAGTAATTAAATAAGTTATCCGTTTATAATTTCATGCTCATTTATATTGGGCATGTATTAAATCTACATTTGATTATTAATAAATTGTATTGAAACTTAAGATTTTCTAGTTGATATAAATTAATGAACATGAGGAAATGAATGTTGATATACTGCAGTACGAATAAGATTCGCTATTTCATCTATATTAACCAAATATTATTCAACAATTTATTATTTCTCACACGAATCCGAGTAAAGTTATACTAATTATTAAACTAATAACCTGATATATTTGTTTTGCTTCCTTAAACATTGCCTGTCAAAAATACAGTGTATATATTATATATTAACCCTTTGTGAAAAAAACAATATATTATTATAAATACAATAAAACCTTAAGGCGAAGGAGTAGTAGTTGCAGCGGCTTCGATTTCGCCAACAAAGTATGGATTAGGTAATGCATTGGCACTCATAGAGATAATAATAGTAGTAATCAAAAATGTTAAGAAAATTGAGAAAATTGATAAAGGCCTCATTTTATTCCACGTGAAATATAAGATTATATTTGAGTGAAAAAATGCGTAAATATATGAACTTTGAGTTCGCTTTGAAAGAATATGGTTTACGTAAAACACTTTTAAATGCATGTTCAATAAATCCTTATTTTAATAAATTTACCATAAAAAGGAAATATACGTGGGCGTTTCGTAAGTTAAAATGCAAGCATTGTTGATCCTAGTAACCTGAACCAGATAGACCTTCATCGGCAACCGAACAGAACCGGAAATTTTCCACAAAACCGATTGAGTGAAATGTTTAATCGGTTAAACCGAAATAATCAGTTAACCCGAAATAAGGTTGATCTAATATAACGAATATAATAATTAAATATTAGTCAAATTAGTAATCAACTAGTTATTAATTAAAAGATTTTTAGTCAAACTGGTTTGGTCAAATTGGTTAAATAATTTAGTAATACATATAAATCAAATTAACAAATTAAACCAATTAAGAAATTTTAATTATAGCTAAACTGTTTTAATTAGTTGATTTGTTTAAGGTAATGTTATTTATACCATTATTTTTGCTAGTTACATCAAGTTAAATATTGTTTTTTTTTAATAAACTTGTTTTTTTAGTTATAAGTTTTGGTTAAGAAGTTATTAAAACACTTTTAGTTAAAATTTTTTAAACATTATAATCAAAAAACTAATAAATTTTAGCATTTAGCATAATACAAATAGCAAAAATGATAATATAAATAGTAATACTTTTTGTTTATATAACTAAATTATTAAATTAATTTAATTAATATTAAAAATATTTAATTATTTAGTTATTGGTCAAATTAATTTATTATATTATATAAAATTAAAAATTATTAAATAAAAAAATGTAATAATTTAGTAAAATAAACAAATTATCATTTTTTTAAATCATTGATTAAAAGTTCAAAACTTATAATTTGTAAAAATTTAAATAATCATTTATATTATAACAATTATTTTTATTAATTAGTTAAAATAAGATACTTGTAACTATAATTACACTAATATAACCAACAAGTTATAAAGTATCTATATAATTTTTTTTTTAAATATTAAGATAAGTACTTGTAATCCAGAATTTTATTAATAGTATATTTAGCTAATAGTTGCATTATAACTATAAAGAGCAATTATAGAAAAAGTATATAACTAGTCACTTGTACAATTTTAATTATTGTCTAATTTAATTAGTTTATCTAAAGGTTTTATACTAGCTGCTATATCTAAAACCTGCTTGTAAGTTCTTTATTTAAATCCTCTAGTTTCTGTATCTATCTGCTTACCTATATTTATTAATAATCCTAATCAATACTAATAAAAATATGTTATAATTAAAAGCAGTTTCTTATATAAAAAATCTTTAACCTTGTATTAAACCTTTTAGAATCTTTTGTATTCTATTCTTACAGCTAATCTGATAATGTTATAGTTAAAACTAATACTTGCAATTAGAACATATCATTAAACCACTATGTTTTTATTGAGTTTATTCTAATTTTAGTACTTACTTTACAATAAATCTCTATTACTTTAGTATTTAATTTAAGTTTTACTAAGTTTCTAGTTCAGATAGCTCAAAAAGATAAATATATTTATATCTTTGGTTTACATATTTTTTTAATATATAACTTTTTTTTCTAAAACAGATTCTAATAGCCTGGCTAGTTACAATAATTTTTTTCAAAAACTGATTTGTCTTTATAAGTTTTAGTTTTATTTCATAGATTTAATCTTTACAATAATACTATTAAAAGTTTATACTATATTTCTATTTAGGTCTTTTAAGTAGGCTTCTGCTTTTCTAGTTTCTGTGATTTATATAACTACAAAGACTTATTACAAATTTACATTACCTAGTATTAGTTTGTATTCCTTTGTACAATATATAACTATTATATAAATGTTATATAATCTTTTAGTTATACTAATATAATGCAAATAACAGATATCTGATCTTAACTAATAGCAGAAAACAGTTAACTATAATACAAAAAGAATTTTAAATTTTATTAATACTGGAATTTGAACTTTAGATTTGTTACTTGAAGATTAATAATAAGTTTGACAAAGCAGTTTTCCAAAGTTTAAGTGATAATCAAAATTATATATTACATCATTGCAGCAACTATAGTACATTTTATTTTTTATTAAACATAATATAAAAAATATAGTAATTCATATTTTTTTATTTATTCTTTTATTTCAAATTGGTTTTTTGCTCAAATGGTCTTGCTTTATTGTACATGAAACCAAATTTTTTAGTTTTTGCCACTCTAATATACATTTACTAATAGGCTTCTATTTTGTTTTAAAAAAAAAAACTGCAAAAAATTATAACATCAAATATAATACTTTTATAAAATGATTATTCAAGAATATTGTAATTAAGAAGTAAGTTTAGTTACGAGAAAGAAGTTGATATTAAATATAGTAATTCAGACATAGTAAATTAAAGCAATAAAAATAAATTATTTATAATTTAATTATGATAAAAAATTTTAATTTAAACCTAACAAGCATATACTACTGAATAAATATATTTAATTAGCTAAAATATATTAAAATTTAAAGAATTTAGTATAGTGCTTTTCATGATTTGTATTTATGTATAAGTTTTTTGAGAAAATTTTTTTGCTTTTTACAATCTATTTGTTTTTATAAGTGTTTTTTAAGAAAAATTTTCTAGATAAGCTAAATTAATTATTGTGTAAAAAATAAAAATAGAGTTAAAATTAATAGCTTTGTATTAGTATTTTATTTATATATTGTAATAACTTAATTAATAAAATGTATTGTTTTTTATTAAATGTATTGTTTATTAAATTTATTGAATAAATGATTAATTGTATATATAATAAAGCTATTTAATACTTTTAAACATACTAATTATTATTCTTACTGTTTTTATTACAATATAATCATGTTTTGCAATCTTGCTATATATGCATATATATCAAAAATAATAAGACTAAAGGTGCTAAAAATTAAAATATATGTTATTATCTATTAAAAAAAATTAGTTTTTAATAATTATTTTTATATATTAATTAATATTTTGCTTTTTATTAAAATAAGACAATTCTTATTAAGGCAGTAGCTGTTATAAAAATATATAAAATAAAATAATAATGTTTTATAATTAAAAAAGCAAAGCTTAATTCTTTTAATTATTCTTTGTTTCAATGCAATTGAATATTTCTAAATAATAGATCAGTTTTAATAATATCAGTTTTTGTAATATCAATGTTATAATAAATTTTGTAATTACTATATAAAATAAATTAATAAAAATTTCTTATTTTAAAAAAAACATGTGATATTTCTATTATTTAAGACATATAGTTTTCTTAAACTTTGTTATGCAATAAAAATCAATTCTATAAGTTTTTATCTTATTTGTATTTGTTTTACCTACTATATACAATTAATCATTTTTATAATAATAAAAATATCTGAGCATTTTGTATAAATACAATATCGATTGCATCTTATTATGAGCAAATTTAAAATAATATTTATTTAAGCTCAAGAAATTGTATTTCTTCAAGATTATAGCCTTTAAACTTGATATTTGACCTTTAAATTTTATAATTAAAATAAAAAAGAAAAGTGTAATAAATATAAAACTAAATACTTAAAGAAGAAGTTTGTGTAGAATGATGTTTATCACAAAACATGTTTTAATTATAAAAAGAATCATGATTAAATAAGAAAGCAAAAATATTAAATAACAATTATGAATTCAACTAATCATATTAAATCAACTGATTATATTAAATCAACTGACCTTATTAAATTAACTAATTATATTAAATTAACCAACTATATTGAATTAACTAGTTATATTGAATTAAGCAACCAAGTTGAAACAGAAGTGATTAATTATCTTAAGTTGGATGATTTTATTGCAAATAAAATCCAAGAGCTAACAGAAAGCACAAACACTAATAATGTAGCTAATATGGCTTATTGCATACATTTATTAGTAAAAATGGATATAGATACTTAATATATAATAGTAAAAGAGATTGCTAATCTTATAATTAATGAAATCAAAAACAAAAATAATTATTTATAAATATAAAATCTTTTTTTATTGTTTTTTTTTTACTTTTCTCTTTTTTTTCATTTTCTTTTATTCTTATTATGGTATTTATGTTTATTCTTTATTCAATCTATAAATATTTTTTTTATTCTTTTACAGCATTATGTATTTGATTTATAAATATTTTTTTTTCTTTTTTGCTTTATTAATATTTATATCATTATAATTATCAAAAAGCAAATCTTTTAAAAAAATTGGCAGCACTGTTGGCAGGTTCACATATCTGTAATGCCAATTAAAAGAGATATA